TGTACTTGGTCATTTCATTGAGGACGCTGACACAAAGGTGGGCACTAACACAAGCAACATTGGTCTCGGAGATATCTTGGTGCAAACAGAAGATGGGACCGAACGTGTGATTGCCTACCCGAGCAGCACTCTATCACCTGCCGAGACCAACTATTCAATGTCAGAGAAGGAATGTGTCACGGTAATATGGGCGATTACAAAGCACAGGCTTATCACCATTGGCACCCATTTAAAGTTATGACTGATCACCACGCTTTATGCTGGTTGCCTAACCTCCGAGACCCCTCTGGGCGATTAGCACGATGGAGTATGCGATTTCAGGAGTTCAATGTCACCATCGTATACAAGTCGGGTAGAAAGCATAAAGACCCCGACACACTATCACGAGCACCTCTGGAATCCGACCATACAGCTGTAGAAGACAACAGTGCCTTCCTGGGGACTCTCAGTGGGGCGGACTTCCTCAGTGAGCAACGCACGGACCCCGAGTTAAGGCCCATCATCGACCATTTAGAAGGCAGCACCGTGTCGGTTCCTCGACAACTTTCCCGTACGTGGCCATCATTTTGTTTACGGCACGGCATATTATACAAGAAAAACACTGGTACCGGCAGCAGATTTTATCTTCTAGTCGTTCCTCAAGACATTCGTGATGACATCCTATTAGCCTGCCACGATGAGCGGACATGCGGCCATCTGGGATACTCACGGACGCTCGACCGGGTACGGCAGCTATTTATCCGGCCGAAACTCGCAGCTTGCGTCAAACGCTACGTGAAAAGATGCCGCGAAGTCAGCATCGCAAGTCACCACCTTTAAAGCCTGCAGGCCTCATACAACCCATCGACCCACCGCGTACGCCGTTCAGCCAGGTTGAGATGGACCTCCTTAGACCGTTTCGCTTGTCTCACTCTGGAAACAAATGGATCATTGTCGCAACTGATTACATGACGTGTTACGTTGAGACGAAGTCACGGCCATGCGGTGCAGCATCTGAAGTCACCTATTTTTTCATGCACCACGTTTTGCTTCGTCACCACGCCCCGTCATTCATTACCACTGACCGAGGGACAGCGTTCACGGCAAAACTGCTGGACGACATCTTCAAGCTTAGTTACACGACCCACTGTAAGACAACCGCATACCACCCCCAGAGTAACGGCTTGAAAGAATGGCTAAACAAAACGCTGGCGGACATGATTTCTATGTACGTGGATGTGCAGCATAAAACGTGGGACGATAATTGCCGTAAGTAACGTTTGCGTACAACACTGCAACCCTGGAAGCGACAAGGTTCACACCCTTCCGCCTTATTTACGGTCGAGACGTGCAAACCATGCTAGACGCCATGATTCCTTGTGACATTGACCACCACGAGCTGATAACTCCTGATGCCGAGGATTACATTCAGCGTGCAGAAGAATCACGTCAACTAGCTCACGTGCACATAAGATTGCAGCAGTGTGAACACGTCCGAAGGTACAATATCCACCACCGACAAGTCACCTATCAACCCGGCGACCAAGTGGGGGTTTAGACTCCTGTTAGACGGCGAGGTCTCAGTAAAAAACTCCAGAGCAAGTACTTCAGACCCTACAAAGTGTTACGGTGGTTGAACGAGGTCAACTATGAAGTTATTCCAAATGGAGGCTGGGCAACAACCCAGTGCCACTCACCACGATCAGAGATTGTGCATGTCGTCCACCTAAAACCTTATCTTACGTGGGGATACTCGGCTTATTGTGGCCGGGCAGCAAACATTTACTTTTTGAACGTTGTTCGTTGGGTATCCAACTGTGAACTGTGTTATTGTTTTTTTTTTCTTATGACCAACCACAGACACTTTTTTTTGCACCTGCATATGCCCTGTGCACTATATCGTTTCTCCCTTTTTTTTCTTATGGGCCCTGCTGTCCCCTTGTGTATGGCGTCGATTCGCTGCTTTAATCGTAGGGGAATATTTCCACCTAGAGTTGTGAGCCGGCAAGCCCTAGCCAGCCGAAAAGGGCAAAGAGAACGAATGAGTGTGTGTTCGCGCTTCATTTTAGGATATGCGCTCGTGTCTGTCCGCCCCGCTGTTTCTGTCATGTCTCTACGGGTCTTGGCGCGTCACAATATATATATATATATATATATATATATATATATATATATATATATATATATATATATATATATATATATATAGGTATGGGATATGGCACAACGGCTGTTATCATATATAACTCATCCCCTGATGAAGGGAGGACCTCTCCCGAAACTGTTGGGAAATAAATATATTTATTCTTGTTGACAACGCTCCCGTTGTGCCATATCCCATACCTTCACGAAGACTAACTGGCCCATTGCATTATTACTCCCAATATATATATATACATATATATATATATATATATATATATATATATATATATATATATATATATATATATTGAGTTAGATGTCAATAGTTCTGTCTGGCAGCTGTAGACATATCTTTGCAAGACGCGTCATTGATGTAGGGTCGTATCTTTTGTGCACTCTATAGTTTGTTACCGGGGTAATATTGTAGCAAAACTTGTAGCAAAACTTGAACAAGCTTCTGTTTTTTGATCTCATATATATCAAACACCACGATCATAAGTAAGGTTACTAATCCACTGCGAGAGAAAGTATATGGACAGGGGAAGTGAAATTGTGTTGTCGACTTTTCCAAAGCAGCCACGCCCCGTGGAACGTCCTAACATATGACATAGGCCGTGAATCGTATGTTGCATGGGAAAAGTAATGCTGTCTACACGCGCGCTTCTAGCCGGCTTCATCGGTTTAGGAGTTATGCAAAGGTGACGAGATGGAGAGAGAGTGACAAGTGCTGCGGCAGTTATTCAGTGAATTCTAACTCAAGAGAACTCATAACACGTTTCATACCTCAGTGTATGCCACTATCTGAATGTTACGTCGCGTTGGCACAACAGACAATGCGAGGATATCATCAGGCAATCTATTGGCCCCATTAGCTTTTGCTGTTAACGCGAAGAGATGAAACACCATTGGAGTTCACTGCTGGCCATATTTTGCGTAAATTGCAATTCATGACAGTCAGATCCCATGATTCGTCCTTGCGGAGAAACCAAATTTTGCCAATCACGTATACCCTAACGGAGGGTCTGTTCACTAATTCCTAACTAGAAATCCTGGACAATAGCAGTTGTAGTAACGAGTTCAATTGATTGCTGCGAGATGAAATTGTCCTCTGCGTAACATTGAGTCGCAGCAATAGGAGCTGTGCTAATAGAGACAAATAACATGGGTGATCACGCTGCCATACAATCCGTAATTACATGAGAATTGAACATCCCTTCACAGAGGTATTTGACTGATTTATATGTAGGGTTTAACGTCCCAAAACCACCATAAGATTATGAAAGTTGCCGTAGTGGAGGGGTCCGGAAATTTTTACCACCTTAGGTTTGTTTACGAGCAACCAAATTTGAGCGCACGGGCCTACAACATTTCCGCCTTCATCGAAAATGCAGCCGCCGCAGCCGGGATTCGATCCCGCGACCTGCGGGTCAGCAGCCGAGTACCTTATCAACTAATCTACTGAGACGGGGTTATTCACCGAGGCAGCTGCGTGCTTATTGTACCCACTTTTTTCACAATGGTGAATGAATATGTCTATGTCAACAAATCCTAATGTCACGCAAAAAACGCCAAGCAGCTGGAGCTATGCAGCGAGCTCCTCAAGCAAAAATGCCGCACGAAGCAAACATATACTGGATGAGCGTGAGCTAACTACTGTCACAGCTTGACATTTAAAGCGTGCTGCCCAAACACGTTGAAGGACGCACGAAATGAATGAGTTTCGGAGTTACATCTGTATGTGTGAGCAGCGTGTTCCTTTCCAAATGATTGTTAGATATGTGGGGTTTAACGACCCAAAACCCCCATGTGATTATGAGAGACGCCATAGTGAAGGGATTTGGAAATTTCAATTACCTGGGGTTCTTCAAGTTACATTCAAAGCTCAGCACATGGACCTACAGCATTTTAGCCTCCATCAAAGGTGCAGCCACCGTGCCAGGATTCGATCCCGCGACCTGATGGTCAGCAGCCAAGTACCGTAGCCACTGAACCACCGCGGGTGGCCTTATTTTCGCAAATGCGTGCCCCTCAGTGACCGAAGTTACCTTCATGTGCTCTGTAACTTTAAACGAACACTTGCGGTGAAACTACGAGACGTACAAACCACCCCTCACAAGATAAACGCTCGCATCCCACAAAAACGAGGTGATGACTTTTAAGGTGCGACTTCTACGCTATATCACCAGCGATCACAATCACACACTAAAGCCACGCAGCCCTGAATACCAGCAACATAAAGGCTCTATGTTAATGGCTAGTAACCTGATGAATGTACTCTATTTTACTGTGGCAATGCGCACCGCGCTCTGTGTAGTGAAGGGTCGTAGATCTTACTCCTTGCTACGAAACTTTTTTGAGACTTTTATTGCAATCACTCAGTGTATGTTTAGCAACATCATACCAGTGATGGTAACACGTCAGCTCAGCCAAGGTGGAGTTAGGCCGAAAACATTTTCGTCTTAAGAAAACGCTAGGTAGGATGATGCTGGAAGAATTTTGCAAGAGCACATCATGCTGAAAGTTAAATAGCTGAAAAATCTCAAAGAATGCAGAAAATCACGGCACACTCAATCACAAGCCGAGAATCGCGGTAGCACCAAGAAGAAAAGTAATATCGCGTGTTTGAGGTTTGCGGGGCGTAATAGTTTCTGCCGACATGGTTACTTTGTGCAAAAACAGTGGTAGAAGAGCTCGCGGTGTCGTATTTGGTAAACTGTGTGGTAAACACGCAGTAGAGTACTGAACGCTTAGAAAAGTAAAAAATTGAATACCTCCATTATTTGTTAAGTATATGTGCGCACCACTTAACAATGTTGTAACTTCCATACACAATATAAAAGTCTGTTCAAAGTAAGAATGATTGAAAGTATACATACATGCCTTGTAGCTTTGGTGGAGCCCCACTGAAATAAGCAAAAATATTTTTTTGTACGTAGTGAAGCACAGTATAAAATTATTCAATTTCAACGAAAAGTTTATATTGGATAATGCCGTGTTTAATATCAATCTTGGGTACATTTGAGGCATTCATACTTTATGTTGATTTACCAGATGTATATGTTTAAAACTTTATGGTGTTACTCCAGGCTTTTAAGGTAACAAGAAGGATATAAATCTTGCACATTTAGTTAAACTTGCTTAACAGTCACATTTTAAAGATATCTTTACTGTAACTTTATATGACATCTTTCGACCGAAAAAAACTGTCCCGCTTTTATACCATTTATTCCATCATTATTTGTAACTGCTAATGTAAAAGGGCCAGTGAAACTCGGCTCCTGGGGTATCAAACACGCGGACCGAGCGCTGTATCGGCCTACAAATGCTTAGGGACTGGCCTGCCGCTTGATATGCATTAAACTTTCTTCACACTGTAAGTGGTATGCGCAATATTATCTCATCTATTGCAAACAATAACACCTCGCTTGTAATAGCTACAGAGCCGGGATTTATCTCCAGCATTCCCTGTTTTTTCAAAGGTACCCAAGTTAGTCACTACCTAGTTGAAACATCATCGTGGAATAAAAACTTTCTTTCAATCCTGTAGTCGTCAGGCAGATCGGTGTTGCTATGTTTGATAAAACTTACGCCCTATTACCGGTGAAGGTAACCTAAACTGGGTGTTTTCAATCAATGTCTCCAATATCCTTAAAAAAGAGGTGAATGCAGAATTTGCTTCCTGTCTTCATCATTGCTTTTATTTACTACCAGCCATCCAAGCTGGTTGAAGACATCAATTAGTTCAATTATTAGAAAATTTTAAATAATTAGCTTTTGATTAGCGAAATTAGTCGGGGAAGTGAAATGAGAAAACTTGAGGCCTTAATACGAAAAAACCATCACAGCTTTAGGATTTGTCACATTAGTATTGTTACCTTACATTGTTAATCACTCATATTGAGTGTATCGAATGTATATTGTCTGAAATATGAGTCCTCATGTTTGGCAATATCACTATTTTGCTGAAAATTTTGCAAGGGTTCACGAGAGTTCCCCATGAGAAGCCTACACTTTCAGTTGCCCGGAAGCATTAGAACTAAACAGTCGGCTCTGCGGCCACATATTCACATTATGAATATTGGGTTGTTGCTGTCCTTTTCCCCAATTCGCAGCTCTGATCATGTTTTCCTGACTTGGAAAGCCATCTGACCAAATTTGCAAAGAATGCTGAAGAACAATGATTGCATTTAGAGTACTCTACAGTTGATCGAGTATCCCTGAAAGATGAGGTCGAAGTGAATTCAAAAAATGTGACTAGCTTCTGTATTTTTATGAGCGGAAAGCTTCCTCTTATAGCCAACTGTCATTGACTATATGCGTAGATTTTTCAGAAGTACCCTCTAAAAAAAAGCGTGTCAATGAATACACATTATTCTAAAAAATATGCTTTTTTTCTGCTTTGAAAAGTAATTTCATGCCATGCGACACATTTGATGAGGTGAAATGGACTTTTAAGACGCGTTCGTGCAGCTGAGGCATTTGTTCAAGCTGAGTGTCATTAATGCACTCACCATCGCTACCGCTTCTTTAACGGGTACATTTTGCACGCCACTGTTATAATGCTCACTGCCTGGCATGCCACTGGTGATGCGTGACACTTCAGGTATTATCACTAACGTACACTTGTCTAGTGTGATGATATAGGGATCTAGTGCACACTCTATACGCGGAGTAGCTCACAAGCCACCTGCCAAAAAAGAATGTCGTCACTCTGCACGCGACTTACCAAGAGCTCGCTGATTTCTAGTTTTATAAAGGACATTAGTTTGATACGATTAGAAAACAGGATAGCGGCTGGGGCACTCGCCTAAAAATTTTACAAAGCTAGATCCACCGCCACTCTAAAACTGCCTAATACTAACACTAATCTTCCTCACAATAACAACAAAAAAGCGAGGGTACAATGCAATCACTCGCCTGTTATTGTAGCATTTATGTCATCACGTCTGCGAAACCTCATGAAAAACGATATCACTTGAATGCCGTGCGTGCCAAACAATCGAGATAAAGCGTCAGAGAAAGCAAGTTGTGATGTTTGATTCAGGCACTCTCCACTAGAAGCGCTGGGCTCGCCATAAAAATGTCCACTAAGGCTCATTTTGTGAGTTTCGTCGTAAGTGATGTGTTTCATCGGCAACTATTCAGCCTGTGTCAACCCGAGGGGTGTAACCTCAACAAACGCCGCTATGCGTGTTCATGCGGCACCCTCCAAAGAAGTTAACGCCACTGTGTTAGGCTGGACAATTGAATACTCATTTAAGCCGGTACATGCTGCCTTGAAGTTACCTCCATTTACGTCAGCATTCACGTTGGCACCTGCGTGCATCCAAGTTATTCAGTTCCGATGGGAAAGATTGCGCACGTTCCAGGTACACTGACAGTGATCGCTGGGGGTGCGTATTTTTGTCAAACTAGCTAAGGGTGGCTGTCACGTTAAAACATTCGAATATATTAAGTTACTATGACAAACGTGACTCTTAATATGATAAGCTGTTACTAGGTTAACTGCATGCGAAACATGTATTCTTTGCGCACCATGATGTACTGACCTTATTTTGCGATAGGCGTAACATTCCACCGTCCTTTCGGCTCCTTCAATGCCAGCCGCAAGGAATACAGACTTCATGCATATACAGTCACCCTGTACCCATGTTTCTTCTGACATCATCAACAATTCTATAGTGGAAAAGCTTTTAAGCAGCTGAAAAACAAGCGTGGTGAAGTGTTTCATATTTGCTATAATTACTTGGAAGAAAAGTTCAAAGGTTCATCGAAAAGAAAACTAAAACACGATTTGTTGGTTGGCTTCTTCACATATATACTCTTCTTCAGAGGTCTCAAATACGCCGCCCGCTGACCCTTCTGTAGCAGCCTCCTCCCGCACATTCGTTTCCGTTTATTTACCCTATATACGGGTCGAAATTACCAATATATAGGGGGGGAGGGGAGTGGGGTAGTAACAACTCATGTGAACATTCAAAAAATGCAACAAAGAGAGAGAGAATATTTTAATGGGGAGCTGGAGTGTTTTCCTGGTTTTTCACCTGGAACTGAAACAGACAGGTACAATACTGCACATTAAGTAGTATACGATATTCATGTCAAGTTGCAAACATCCTAATTGGGAAAGATAAATAAATATATTTTTAGTAATTCACTGCTGCTTAACTTACATCGTCGTGCAGCAACACATTATACATTACAAAAAATAGACATCATGCACCCTGCTTTTTCAGGCATCTTTGAAACATGATTAGGTGAAAATGTTCGTAAGAAATAAAAATATTTGTAAATGCTTCAATGCTCCCTTTTTTCAGAGTACTCGTGTAAAGTGTCCTTAGATACAGCGTGGCCAGATATTTCAACTTTAATATTTGGGAGATGATTTCATCATAAAATAGCTAGTTGTAGGCATCATAATTGCCATAAGTTAGATCGTGCAAAAGGTTGTTCAACCATATTTTTTTGTTGGATACCTGGCGAAATCCTTTTTTGTTAAAATTTATTCTTAAGAGAAAGCACTTGGTTAATTAAAATGTGGTAAAAAATGTTTTTAAGCTTATTTTTCTTCTGCTCTACAATAGAATGCGACATAGACATTTATTTTTGAGATGTTTCATTGCTGCAAACAGTTACTTATAGTGAAACGCGCTTGCTTGTTTTACAAAGACTCTAATTTGCCGATTAGATATTGCAAGTGGGTGTTCCTTATACCTCCGACGCACTCCAGGTTTGTACGAAGTATGGTATTATATGCGAGAATTTGAGCACTACTTTGAGTATAACAAAGTATAAAGTAGAAGAAGATAACATATTTACAAGCCACGGGAACAACGAAATCTTCATAATTTTTCCACGACAAATTTCCCACGACAAGGCAGAGTGAAATATTTACTTTCCAGGTTGACGGAGCTTTCCGGGGGGCTCAATTTGAATATATATTAATATTTAGCAAGAAATAGCTATTGCTTTTTAGTGTACATATAGACATACATTCAAAAATGCCTATATGATTAAAACATTTACGCAAAAAAACATCGAAGTCGCATACGTAAACATGCACATAAGATTTATTTGGTGTTACAGCACACACACTGACGGCTTAGCAAGCTGCACAGTGATACACCAGTCACAGAGTATACACATAGTTCTATCGCATTTTGACATCCCGTGTAGCTTCATTGCGACACTTCAAATTTGTCTCATTAAACAATTATTATATGAGATAAATGCAAATTAGGGTAGAATTAGATTGCCTTGATACACTCTGATCTCCTAATATCAGCCTGTCTTATATTGAAGACTTTGTTAAATATCGATCTCCATTATCAGCTGACTCACTATTGTATATATGTCAAATTCTCCCTAGTTGTAGGTGCGCAGTCAGTAAAACTAACATGTTTACACAAAACTACGGACAGCCATGCATAAAAAATCAACAAGCTACCACATTCAAGTTTGCGACCCGGCTTTTGCTGACGCCGCTCTTAGGCATCTCCCTGGAGCATAGCTATACAATGTGCGACCGCGTGCGACCACAAACCAAATTTTATTCATCGTTTTATGAAAAAAAAAAACTTCCGATGATCCCGCGTACCATGACAATCATTACCCCGCAAAGCATGTGGAGGTGTAAAAACCTGGTATCATTTGATGTAAAACTGTATATATATATATATATATATATATATATATATATATATATATAGATATATATATATATATATATATATATATATATATATATATATAGTCACTTGTAAAGATTACACTAGGTGATTGGTGTGGTTGGCGTGAAACGTTCCTAACTCACGCTAAACGAATATTAAAATTTTGTTCACACAAAAAATAAAACCAACAGTGGCATATATTTTATACAACCAGTCTATGGATGCGCAACGATTCCAACAGCAAAATAGGTATTACTAACACCAGAAGGGGTACGCTGAAATGTACGACTTGTGATTCGAGGTTGATAGCCCCGGATAGTGATACGTAGTCCAGCTTCATTGGTTGCCGCTTAGGTATAAAATTGACGTTAACCTTACGTAAGCCTGTGCCATAGGAGGGCACATATAATGTTTATTTATTTATATTGCTGCTAAATCCTCGGTTGACGCTCTCTACTACTAGGAACTTGCTGGAAGGGCTTGTGTACGGTCTTTCTTTGCCGGCCTTAGTTGACACTGGAGTTCAGGTGTCAATAATGAGTGCTCGTCTCTGTCACCGCCTCAAAAAAAGTACTCACGCCTGCCGCAACACAAGCCGTCCGTGTCGCCGATGGTGGAACTGTGGCTGTCATTGGAATGTGTACCGCTCGCATTAGCCTTGCCGGCCGCCATGTTTCTGTTTTATTTACCATGCTCGGCAATTGCGCTCATGACCTCATCTTCGAGATGGACTTCTTATCGACGCAATCTGCCCTTATTGACTGTTACGACGTCACTCTCTGTCTAGAACTTCCTCTTCCAGATTCTCACCTCGAGCTGCCGAAAAGCCGCTGTACCACAGACTTCAGTCGGATACCGCCAAAAGCCTTCAAATTCATTAAATTCGCAACAAGTTCACCCGTTGTTCACCGTGATTATGTCGTCACGCCTATTCTTGATGTTGTCCTGGCGCGCGACATCACTGCACCTCACTCCATTGCAACTTGGCCTTGAACCGAACATGTCTGCCCAATATCGATTTCGGTTTCACGCAGCAAGTACTACCACACGGAATTTCAGTCGCTACGCTTCGACCCTTATTAGATGCTCACGTCACTGCTTTTGCGGAAGACGCATGCTCCGATCTTCCATGTCGCCCTCAGGATACCACATGCCTCGATGCGGCTTTGCGCCCCATGATCGACCCGAAACTCAAACCTGAGCGATCCGACGCCCTATTCCATTTTCTGGCTTCCTACCTCGACATATTTGACATCGCCAGCAGTCCACTCGGTCAGACTTCCCTCGCGAAGCACCGCATTAATACTGCTGATTCTCCTCCCGTTCACTGCCGACCATACCGGGTGTCTGCCACAGAGCGTAAGGTAGTCCAAGAAGAAGTCAACAAGATGCCAGACAAAGGAACTATTGAACCCTCCTCGAGCCTTTGGGCACCTCCTGTTGTGCTCGTTCAAAAGAAAGAGGACACGTGGCGCTTCTGCGTTGATTGCCGCCATCTTAATCGAATCACGAAAAAGGACGTTTATCCTTTGCCCCGAATTCGTTCTGGCTATTGGCAGATTGCGATGGACAAGAATGATCAAGAAAATACTGCGTTTGTAGCTCCCGACAGCCTATACCAATTCAAGGTGATGCCGTTTGGGCTATGCAACGTCCCAGCTACGTTTGAGCGTATGGTGAACTCGCTATTACAAGGGTTTAAGTGGTCAACATGCCAGTGCTACCTGGATGATGTTCCGGTATATTCGCCTACATTTGAGATACACCTCCAGCATTTGTCAGCGGTTCTCGACAACTAAACTTGTCGAACTGTCAATTCGACCGCCAGCAGATTATGGTGTTGGGCCACCTAGTCGAATCATCAGGTGTGCAGCCTGACCCGGAGAAATTGCGTGCCGTCACGAGCTTTCCTGTACACCAGACTGTCAAGGACGTCCAGAGCTTTGTGGGACTTTGTTCCTATTTTAGAAGGTTCGTAAAAGATTTCGCAACGATCACTCAACCACTCACGGACCTTGTGAAGGAAGACGACTTTTACGTGGGGCTCCGCTCAAGCTGCCGCTTTTTCAAACCTCGTCACCCTCCTCATGACTTCACCTATATTGACCCACTTTGACCCGTCCACTCCGACAGAAGTCCTAACCGATGCAAGTGGTCACGGGATTGGAGCCGTCCTAACCCAACGCCACCGGGGACACGACCGAGTTATCGCCTACGCTAACCGCCTTTTCACAGCTGCCGAAAGCAACTATTCAATAACAGAGCGTGAATGTCTTGCTCTTGTTTAGGCAGTCACGAAGTTTCGCCCATATTTATATGGCACAAGTTTCCCTGTAACAACGGACCACCATGCGCTATGTTGGCTTTCGTCACTGAAGGATCCTACTGGCCGGCTTGGCGCTGGGCTCTGCGACTGCAAGAACATACCTATACAGTCACGTACAAGTCGGAACGCCTACATCAGGGCGCAGACTGCCTCTCCCGCTACACGGTCGATGAACTGAGCACCATCCCTGACACCAACACCGATACTTAAGTCTTCTCCGTTTCGCAACTGACCCGCATCGGTGACGAGCAACGCCATAATGCATCCTTGTCCGCTATATTTGAACATCTTGAATCACCATTTTCCAACAGGTCCCAGCCCTCATTCGTCCTCCGCGATGGTGTCCTATACCACCAGAACGTCTACCCAGATGGACCAGCCCAGCTGCTCGTCATTCCAAAAGACCTCCGCTGAGCAGTTCTCCACGAACTCCATGACCTTCCAACTTCCGGTCACCTTGGTGTGTCACGCACTTACGACCGGATTCGCCGACGCTTCTTTTGGCCAGGGCTTTCACGCTCAGTCAGAAAATACGTTGCGGCTTGTGATAAATATCAGCGCCGCAAAACACCATCGACGCTTTCTGCCGGGCACCTTCAACAACTTGACATTTCGTCAGAACTTTTCTTCCGCGTTGGCTTAGACCTCCTGGGCCCTTTTCTCTTGTCTTCTTCTGGCAACAGGTGAATAGCTGTGGCCACAGAC